AAGAAGAAGAAGAAGAAGAAGAAGAAGAAGAAGAAGAAGAAGAAGAAGAAGAAGAAGAAGAAGAAGAAGAGGAAAAGGAAGGAAGGAAGGAAGGAAACCCAGGGCTAGGGCCGTGAGTAACCTGGTTGGAGACGTGCCTAGAATGTGTAAGCCTTAACAATAATAATGTCTCTCTACACTGCCAGTGTTCTGGTCTCTCACACACCTGCCCCAGCTGCTTGCACCCTCCCAACTCACCAGGCCCCCACTGGATCCAGGGTCTGGGGATGGAGTTGTGCTATTGGAAGGATCTGGTGCTGGGGCTGTGGGACAGAAAGAGAAAACAGATCCATGCCAGGCTCTTCATTAATCTCACACACGCACGCACGCACGCACGCACGCGCGCACACACACACCACTCGGCCAGACCTTGTAAACTCCTTCCAAGTCTCCAGTTGGGATAGAGACTGCTGGTACAGCCAGGCCACCCACTCCACCCGCAGGTGTGGCATTGGTTCCTCCAGCCACCCTCAGCCCAGCAGAAAATAAGCTGGCCAAGGTCACCACGGTTAGCCAGACCATTAGACTAGATGGCTTCCAGAACAGTGTCCCCACCACCCCCACCACCACTCTGGCCCAGGGCTCTGAAGGATCTGGGCGGGGCTCAGTCTTTCCTTGGAGTGTGTGACTCACACAGCCCCCCCACCCCCAGGCTCCCGAAACTGGAACCAGAGAGACAGAGGGAAGGTCTGCCTGGGTCCACACCTCCGAAGGGCCAGCCCTGTCAGCTGGCCTTCAGGCCTCCTCCAGGTCCCCTGGCTGCTTAAGACTCTCAACTATGCAGACTCAGGTGCCCTGACTCTCCTCCCCTCCTCCACCTCCGGGCTCTGCCCAGCAACCCCCAGCTCCCAAATTCCACAAGACTTAAGGACTCAGGAATTCTGGGCTGCGGGTGCGGGGTCTGCTTGATGGTAAAGTGCTTGCCTAAGGTGCAAGAAACCGTGGGTTCGAGCCCCAGCAACTCAAAAAAGGGGGTGGGGGGAGAAAAGTTCCGAGGTGGACTAAACTAACTTGTGGTTCAGGCCTGACGCTTTTGGACCCGGTCCCCAAACACATTCCAAGCCCATTCCTCAGACCTTTCACCCTCTCCGGGTAGCAAATGCCCGGCCCTTCTGAGCTCTACCCGGGAACCCTCCTCCCACCCCAGCGCCGCCCGGGACGGTACCTACTTGCTTGACTCCAGCCCGTGGGCAGCATCGGCAGGCCAAATGCCAAGAGCAGCCCCAGGCCTGGGGTCGCCATGAGTTTGGGCGACGAGTTGGTGGCGCCAAGGGCAGGACTTCCCCAGGGCTCCAATTCCTACCGCATCTTGGGTCGAGGACGGCACCTGCGACTCGGCACCTGGGGACCAGACCAAAGGAGAGGCCGCAGCGTGGGGTTGGGGGCTGGACCGAGCTGGGCTCAGGCCCCAGCGACAGGCGACCAAGCTGGGAGTGCGCTCCCCGCCCTCGGCGCCAAGGGTCAGAGATTAAAGATTAACTCTCGGGCGGCGTTCCTGGGCCAGGGAAAGCGAAGGAGGAGGTGGGGACAGGCCAGGCTGCGCGCCCTGCCTCCCTACCTGGCCCAGGCGTCCGAGAGGGACTTGGCGCAGGTTCCCAATCCCGGGTCCCCGGCTGGAACCCCGAATCGCTGTCCTTCACCCTGTCGCTCCGGATCCCACCCGCCCCGCCCGCTCACGTGACCCGGAAAGTTTAGTCACCCACCTAGGCAGGGAGCGCACTTCCGGCTTGTGCACCTGAGCCTGGCTCAGGGGGGCGGGGCCGAGGGGGCGGGGCCGCGCCGCGGGAGCACCTGTAACGGGAACCCGATGGCGACCGGGAGCCGCGCGAGGGGCGGAAGCGAGCAGGTGTAAGGACAGCACCTCGGGGTTCCTCGGTAGCGCAGGGATGCAGACGCAGGGGGCGTGGCGACACGCCGGAAAGATACACACCTGTAAGGGGCGGGCTCCGATGCCTAACGCTGAAGAATTCGCACCTGAAGTCAGACCTGGCGATGCTTAGTCGGCCAACCAACCTGTGTGGGACTAGTTCTGTAGAGAGAGACACATGCGGACCTGGATGCAATGTATAAACCCCTGCTTCGAGTCATACCTGCACGGCAAAGACACCTGGACAAAGAGCACCTTGCAGAATTTGGCTCTTGAAGGCCTTACAGCCACCCTGAAGGACATCCGCAGAGGGGGCTGCACACACTGGCTTGTTGTGTATGAGGTCCACCTGTCAGGGAAGTGTCCGAGGAAGCACCTACGTCCCCATGGCACGCAAAGACACACCTGTGCGTGGAAACATCTGGTAGCTGGGGGGGGGCGTTGTGTGGGACTCTCACCCACTCACCACACATGTATGGGCACAGCCTGCGTGGGAACCACATAACCTCTGGGCGTATTTTTGGGTAAAAGGTAGTCATGAACAGGATATGGCGGCACACGATTACATCCCAGCAACTGGGAATCTGAAGCAGCAGAGCTGCTGCACGCTCTAGGCCTACAGAGTGAGGCTCTGACTCAAAACAAGAGTAAAACAACAAATGATCATAGAGCTGAAGCTGGGGTCCCCTGGCCAGAGTGCTCCTCTAGTACGTAACAAAGCCCTACGACACCCCACAGAGCAGAAGCAGGTGGATCTCTGCAAGATCAGCCTGGTCTACATAGTGACTTCCAGGGCTACATAGCGAGACCGTGTCTGGAAAACAAAAACAAAACAAAAACCCTGAAGAATAAATAAAAGAGGCTTCGTCCCTTCTAGGAGTGGTGGTTTAAAATCTGTTTAAATCTCTGCTCTGGCCCTAAGTGGGAATCCCGGCTGGGAATTTTAACTTCTTGTTTCCTCCTCTGTAGCGTGGGAAAAACGAGTGCCACCTGCCCACCTCACAGGGTTTGGGCGGGGAGGGTGCTGAGCAGCGAGTGGAAGGTTGGCATGCGCAGCGCACTCAACGTTAGCTGTTATTTATTATTCGCGGTCAAGCGGGCTCCCTTCCCCCTGACGGTGAGACCAGAAACTGCACCCGAAACTTGTTGGGAGGGACTTCAGCAGGTGCAACCACGGTCCCTGGCTGAGGCCCCGCCTCCAGAGCCCGGCCACCTCCTGATCTTTATCCTCAGTGGCATCGGAGACTCTGGCCCGGGACTCCCTGCCCAGGCAGGTCTGCAAAGAGCAGACTTCTGCGAGTCTAGATGGGGGCGCAGCCCCTTTAAGAAGGCCTGGCGGGCGGCGGGCTGCGGGGCTGGAGGCCGCGGTGGGTCAATCGGGAAGCCCCGCCTACGTGGAGCGGACGGGCGCAGCTCAGGCGGCTCTGACCAATAGGGATTTGACTTTGCAGCCGCGCCGCGCGTTGACCTTGCGTTTCTCTCTCGGAGTGTCACCGAGAAATGGAGGCGCGCGGGCGGGATGAAGTGTTGGGGAGGGAGCTCTCCCCTTTGTTGTTCTTCTGTTTCCGTCATCGATTGGGGAATCTGACGAGAGCGGGCGGGCAAAAGAAACGCTTATACTGGTTCCGAGTTCTTGCGTAAGCCTGGGAGAGGCAAAAACTTGAATTCCTGATAAGGGTCCGTAGGAGAGGGAGGTCGAAAGGAACGAGATTACAAAATCCAGTCCCTGACAGGTCCCTGCCAAAACCACTTAAGGAAAAGGGGTAAACTGAGGCAAGCAGAGTACCTAGACGGTTGCCTTTCTGCCGCCCCAGGAATGCGGGCACTGTCAGATGTGCAATACCAGAGCCTCCTAGAATCCTTCCCCACGCCCCCTGCTCCGCCCCCGGCCCCCTCCCCCCCGTAATGCGGGTCGGAGGAGGAGACGCAAGTTCTGGAGCGGGCGGGGACGACTAGCATTTATCACTTCCAGCAAGTGCCGGAGCTCGGCCCCGCAGCGCAGAGGCTGCGGTGCGGGTGGTCGCGGGAGCTGACCCTGTGGGGGCCCCGGGGGGGGAGGGGGAGCCGGAAAGCCCCCGCCGAGGCCATCGCTGCGGGGCCTCCCCTCCCCCCCGGGCGGGCGCCATGCGGGGGGGCTCTGGCGACGCGGAGCGGCGGCAGCGCTGGGGTCGCCTGTTCGAGGAGCTGGACAGCAACAAGGACGGCCGCGTGGACGTGCATGAGTTGCGCCAGGGGCTGGCCAGGCTGGGAGGGGGCGATCCCGACCGTGCACAGCAGGTACCACGGGCAGTGACCACCGCTGCAGGGCCCGCCCGCGCCGTAACCCGTGCCCCTGAATGCGGCGGCCGCAGCAGCCGCACGCTACCTGTTGGCTGGACCCACCACCTGTCACCTCCCTTCTTCCCCCTGCCCACTCGCGTCTGGCCTAACGGCGTCGCGAGACAAGACTGCCAAGGCCCCGGGCCTGCAGTGCCTACGGCTGCCAGGACCCAGTGCCCCCCCCCACCCCACCCCCAGGCTCTCGCTTGCTGGAGAACGGACCGTACAGCGGGAGGCTTTCCCCGTCCACTGCCCTTAGACACGCCCTCCGCTGTTCTCCGCGTGATCCAGGGGTGACCTGCTCCCACCTGCGGTGAACACAACTTCCCCACCCTGCTGGGGCACCCATTGAGCCCCTAGCCAGCTACCCTAGTTTCTTATTTACATTCCCCGCCGGCGCTTTCCGGGACCTGGCTGGTTGCCCCAGGCTGCTCCAGCCAGAGATTCAGTCCGTCTGAGGCCACCCTGCCTCTACTGGGGTCCGATCTATCTAGGAGGGAATTTGAGCCTGGGTGCAGCTCTGTGGTAAAGCGCTTTTCTAGCACGTGCAAAGGTCCTGGGTTTCAGCCCCAGCATGGGAGGTGGCCCTTCCCCCTTGCGTCACAGGTATCCCTCACACCTGAGCCCCTAGATGTCCCCGAATCAGACCTGTTGCATCTTTGTTGACCTTGATTCTGAGGTCCCACTTCTCTGGTGGGAATATAGAGGCCCCGTATCTGTTGGCTTTGACATGTTGGGCCCTATATGAACTAGGACTGTTTCTAACGGGACACCCTCCACCTCCAGCCTGCCAAGGAAACGGGTTGTATAAGAAAAAGCTAAGTGGGAGGTTTGGGAGACAGAGTGGTGCAGAAGAATTCAAGGTCATTCTCCAATACAGAGAGAATGAGGCTAGCCTGGGCTATGTGAGACCCTGTCTAAAAGCAAAAAATGTGCTCAAGGTTGCCACTTCACAGTTCTATGACCTTGAACCGCTTCTGTGACTTGGAAGCGTCTCAGTCTGCCTACCAGGAAAACTGGGCAGCAACCAGACGCTTATTGTGGCTTGGGGCATCTTGAAATCTGAAAAGATTGAGGGGCTGGGGTGATGGCCCTGCCCCCTTTCATGGAGGCGCTGGGGCTCTGGGTTCCTGAGGCATAAGGCATATTGTAACACACACACTGTGGGGGTACAGTGTGCTGAGTCCCCTGTGTCCCCTTTTCTCTCTTCCAGGGCATCTCCTCGGAGGGGGATGCTGATCCAGATGGTGGCCTCAGCCTGGAGGAATTCACTCGCTACCTGCAGGAGCGGGAGCAGCGGCTTCTGCTCATGTTCCACAGCCTTGACCGGAACCAGGATGGTGAGATGGGCTCCAGGCTGGGGGATGGGCAGATGGGTTAGAACCCGCAGCGCTGGGGAGAAGGGGAGGGCTGCCTCTGACTCATGGGCTATTTCGGGAGTTCTTCTCAGCCCCAACTAGGTGATCTGAGCCCAAACCGGCCCATTCCACCTCCTGTTCCCTTTTAGCGGAGGACCCCGGTCTCTACCCTCAGACGTTTCTTTTTGCACAGTATAAGAGCTTCAGGGGCTGGGATCCAGGGACAGCCCCTTGATCAAGTGTCTTCTAGGTGCCTTAAGCATTGCCTTAAGGTTGGAGAGATGGCTCAGAGGGTAAAGTACTTTCCCAAAACCACAAGGTCGGGCTGGAGAGATGGCTCAGAGGTGGAGAGCATTGGCTGCTCTTCCAGAAGACCTGGGTTCAATTTCTACCACCCACATGGCAGTTCACAACTGTCTGTAACCCCTGTTCCAGGACATCTTACACCCTCACAGACACACATGCAGATGGAACACCAGTGCAAAAAAAAAAAAAAAAAACCCGCAAAGTCCTGAGTTCAATCCCTAGAACCTATGCTGGGCAGGGAGAACTGAAAAATGAATAAATAAGCAAATATTGCTTTAGTCTTTTCTAGCATAGGCATTTCTGCACTCACCCTTGAACTCATTCATGGAATGGAGGACTGCCCAGTACTGCCCAGTCCCAGCTCTGAGAAGCCCCCACAACCTGTATGAAAACCTCTCCCCTGAGGCTGAGGGGCTGACTCAGTATCTACTCTGCAAACACAAGGACCTGAGTTCAATCCCCAGCACCCATGTTAAAAAGCTGGGTGGGGTGGTGAGGTGGAGACTGGAGGATCTTGGGGCTCACTGTGCAGCTGGCCTAGCTGAGTCAGTGACCCCTAGCCAGATTCAGTGAGAGACCTTGTCTCAAAAGGAGTATGAAGAGAGACTGAGGAAGACATGACCATTCACACACACACACACACACACACACACACACACACACACACACACACACACGGGCTTCTGGATCTCCCACCCGGGTCCAGTCTTTGGTTTGGGCGTCTCCTGGGGCACCCTTTCCAGGTCACATCGATGTCTCTGAGATTCAGCAGAGCTTCCGCGCACTGGGCATCTCCATCTCGCTGGAGCAGGCGGAGAAAATTCTACACAGGTGGGTTAACTGGAGTCTCAGGCCCTTGAGATCTGGCCTCACCCCCACCCCCTCCTCACCCCCCCTCCCCTCCCCTGCCAGACAGTTCCGTCCTCTGAGCCCCAGACCCTGTTCCAGGGAGGGCAAAGTTGAAAAGTTGGACTTTGGAGTCAAACAGATCTTAGGCCAGGGGACTGAAGTCCCTGTCGGGCCCTGAAAAGGCCTGGTGGGTACTACAGCGACCCACATAGGGTCGGTCTGAAGGATTTCCACAGGCAAGTCAGCCAGACAATGTGACTAGATCACACCTGGGGCCTGAACCTGTCCTCCCAGCACTTGGGAGGCCAAGGCAGGACGGTTGCCATGAGTTTGAGGCCAGCTTGGACTTCAGACTGAGACTTCCCTTGTAAATAACTCCCCAGAGCCAGGCACGTGAATCTGGCAGGATGGCTCAGTAGGTAAAGGCACTTGCCCCTCAAGCCTGATGAGGACAGGTGGGGCCCCAATACTCACGTGATGGAAGGAGAGCATTAACCCAGCAAGTTGTCCCCTGACCTCTATGTGCAAGCCATGGGACATGCGAGCTCATGTGTGCGCGCTGTCATATCAACACTCAGAAAGCTAAGGCAGGAGGATTGCCATGAGTTTGAGGCCAGCCTGGTCTCTAGGGTAAGATTCTGTCTTTAAAAAAAAAAAATGCAGGCATGGGGTGTTGTTCTAGCCTCAGGTACACAGGCAGGAAGATTGCTATGAAATCCAAGCCAGTCTGGACCATAGAGTGAGACCCTATCTCAAAAAATAAATAATAAATAAATAAACCAGTGCTGCAGAGAGGCAATGCACACTGTGCTCCCCAAATCTATGAAGGCTAGTAGCACCCACCCCCACCAGTCCACACACTGAGCCTGTGCCCACCCTACCTCCAGCATGGACCGCGATGGCACCATGACCATTGACTGGCAGGAATGGCGAGACCACTTTCTGCTGCACTCCCTGGAGAATGTGGAGGATGTCCTATATTTCTGGAAGCATTCTACGGTAAGCTGGGGGCCGCCTACTAGGTGGAGGCTAGCTCCAACTTCCCTGGGGCTCAGAAGGGCTGGGCCAGGACTCTGGGAGCTCTGTTCCTTCATCCCTACATCTTGGGTTCAGGAGCCTGGTAACCCCAATGGACAGCTCCACTATCTGCTCAGACTCCAGGGCCAGTTGGTAGGAACTGGAGTTATGGGGGAGAAAAATACACCAAATGGTGCTCCCACGCTCGACCCACACAACTGCCAGCTGCCTGCCGGGTGCTCGTCGCCTGCTCCAAGGCTCACGCTGCGGCTGAGGGGAAGATGTAGGCAGACACTGTCTTTGGAGGGTCCAGAGGAGTCCACTGGGGGTGGGGAGGGAGGTCCCCAAGGTGGGGATCACTAGGGATCCTCCTTGCATTGACTTGTCCGGGGGAGGTGTGAACCAGCGTCTGTTCACCCCGGGTGAGGTGACAGCAGTCTAAAGGAAGGATCCCACCGAGGTCTGATTTGCTAAGCCCGTGAGT